TAACAATAATAACAATTAAAGCTGCAAATTAAAAGTTTCTTAAAATTTTCTTAAAAGTTTCTTAAAATAAAACACCAGGAAACGGCAGAAATCAGACAAAACTTTCATGTTAAAATCAAAATGGCCCACTTCCTGTTTGGTTTAGGATATGGCCCCAAGAGGTTTTTTTGTACATCTTGACGTGATACACGTGCCGTTTGATTTTTGTCAAACGTGCATTTTGGTGCAGATTGGACAAAGTATCCTGAAGTAACAACAACTTCCTGTTTCGTGGCGACACCTCAAGTTTCGGCGCCATGCCACGGACACGCCCTTAGGCGCAAACTCAAGATTTTGATAACTTTCGATTGTAATTGTGTTTACATTATACTTACTAAATTTGAAGTCGATCCAATCAATTCTCTAGGAGGAGTTTGTTACAATACAAAGCGTGCAAATCGCCAAAATGGCCCCTAAATCCAATTTATATTCAACCCATATTAATTTCAGGCTTAAATGAACAACTTCAGATTTAAGCCCCGCCCATTTTTGAGTACAGATATGAATACAGATAGTTTACAGTTTCACAATCTTAACCCAGAATTCCTTTAACGTTTTCTTCACTAGCATTGCTGTACACAGGTACAACTACTGAGGTCCAAAAACTGAACTTACTAGCAGACTTTGAAGCCTCAAAGCATCAAAATAAGTTTTTTTTTTTTTTCTAAATTCAACGCCAAGCCACAGACACATCATTAAACGAAGAGTCGTGACAATTATTACACATCATCAGCAACATCTGAAGGGTCTTCTGACCAAACGTCCGCTGGATCTGATCAATCTGCTCAGAGTAGTACATGAGTATATGAGTACAAGTATAAAACATGACATTTACTGTTTCCAGTAGGGGTGTTCATAGTAAGACTCTTATCAGATGGATTGTTTGTTCTATGTTATATTGTTTGTTTTTATTTTAGATTATTTATTTTGGGGGGCCTCATCTCTTTATTTTTTTAAATGTGGGAGGAAACCGAAGCTTCTCGGAGAAAACCCACGCCAACACAGTGAGCACTCTGTACTCCTCACAGCAAAAGGGAACTGAACCATCACCTTATAGCTGCAAGGCCACAGTGTTACACTGAGGCACCTATGATGTCATGTCCTGATATTTTGTCTGATTGAAGTTTTTTTTTTTTCATTATGTGTAAAATGTGGGCGAACCGAAGCCTCTCGGAGAAAACCCTGTGTCAACAATCAGTTAGTACGCGTGTGTGTTGGTGCGCGTTTGTGTCTTTTTGCATCCGAAGCACGCAGTGAACGGCTTGAAGAGACATGAGAAGAATCTGTTGACACCACTTTTGTTTTTTGGTCAATGTCTCAGTGAAGAAATCCATCCAATAGACACATCCTGCGGCAAGAAAGCCAGGCCTGAGCTTGCAAGACTTTATTCTGCGCTGCCCGGTCTTTCGTTGCGCAACTCTTGTGCACTGCTTGGCACTCTTTTGATGTGACGGCCTAGGTTCTTTAAGCACATCCGCAGCCGAAAATCTTGTTCCGAGCATTTCCATTAAGTGGAACGTTGCTTATAGTTTTGCAATTTCGTCATAAATTCGACGATATCATGATTTTGTGAATAAGTGCAACCACCACAAGCCTACAGCGGATTATGTCCCACTCATAGGTGGATTGTGCATTGGTGTCAACTGCAGCTTCACCTGCTCCACTGGTGATCGGTTCCTCGATGGACTGGATGGGGGTGGAAGGTTGATCTTCTTCATCCACCAAGATGTTACTAGCCTCAACTCTGATTGGGGACTCAATGGACTGGACCACCAGAGTGTCACATGTGTCAGCGATGACAGCAGCCTCCAGACTGATGGAAGCTGGTTGTGACACAGGTGTCCCGCAGCCGTCTGTGACTAAGGGAGTTTCTGTGACTGATCGCTGGGTGATCACTCCCCTGATCTGCTCGACAGCGAGACTTGCGTGGTCCCCCTTGTTTTTGTTGAGCTTCAGCTGTCGGTTGAGCCAGTTCCGTACTTGCTTTAAAAAGGTGTCCACCTCGCTCTGGATCTCAAAGCGAAAGTCCATGGAGGGGTCCTGCTGTAGATGGTTGGTGATGATTTCGCCAAGCTCTACGGCGGCCATGTTGGTTTGTCCACTGGAGATTACCTCTGCGACTCTCTCGTAAGGGGACTTGTCCTCTGTGTCCTCACGTGTGTCCTCTGTGTTTGAGGAAATTTATTATGCTGCCTAAGTACCACATGAGCCTCCTCCATTTAACGGCTTCGAGGCGACTTTTCTTCTTGGACGCTTTGTATTTATCTGCCTGAGTTTGTTCACAAGGTCCAAGCATTGACCTCATTGCAAATCTTTGTGCATAAACGCTTGAGCTTGATTTTCCTCACTGGTTCTTCCAGAGTGATATCTTTGCAGATTCATCCCACTGACTCTCGGCAGTGAACCATCCAAATCTAGTTTGGAGTCCTCTGTCAATTATCTTCTTACTCAAATTGTTACTTAAGCCACTTTTCCCGCGGTCCGACTGGAGCAAATCACGAGCTCCAACACCTCGTTGTTTGTCTTCATCTCGATATCTTGACGTCGTAAATGATAGGTCCTGACGCTTCTTGTCTGTTCCTGCAGGATCCTTTTTCCACGGCTGATGTAGTTTTTTCAGTGAAGTCTGCCATCGTCTCGTCTTAAAAGGTAAAATGGGGTGTCTGCCATGATCCCGGTTGCCAATTGGTTCAGTGTCCCCCTGGCAAGGTTGTCCCAGCATTTCCTTGCTTTGGTTGAACCTCTTTTAATGGTTACCTTATTGCGCAAGTTTTTTAAATGTTCGCTACAATGTCTTGCTGACCAATGGAACTCTCAGCTCTTCTGCGGCTGAACAGGAACGACGACGCAGACGGGCCTTCTTGAATGGCCTCATCGCTTGCCTCACTACTGCCAGAGCTTGGGAGACTCATTCACATCTGGGCTGTGACCTCTGTAACCACGGCCTCCGGTTACTTTGGGGTCTGCACTTCCGGAGCCTTTGACCTGTTCTTTTGGATGCCGGATTGCCCGGCCGAAGGCCAGGGGAGAAATGGTCCCCTAACACAC